CCCAGTACTGAATTCACCATGAGTATCAGAGGCACAGGTGGGGAAGAAGTCCTGAGGTGAGTGGTGGGAGCACAGAGCCTGCAGGTCCCCTGTCCCTGGCTGCTGCAGCTGATAAGTTTGGCATTATAACCATGCTTTGCCCTTGGAGGCATCTGACATGGAGACTGGGACAGACATGGGCATACTTAGGACATTGTCCCCTGCAACCCCAGATGTGACAAATGCTGCTCCCAAAGTTTTTTTTTTCTGCCTGGTCATAATCTTCATCTGGAACCCTACATCTGAACACCAAAGGGCATCTGTTGCAGACTGGCCAGAGAACAGTAGCGTGTTACCAAAAAAAAAAAAATAATCTTCAGTAGGTACTCCAAAATCAGCAGATACTCAGCATCTCTCCAGAGATCCTCAGTTTCTCACCAGTTAACTGCCCAAAGCTTCTCCAAGTCCCGCTACATCGTTTCCCAGCTGCAGGATTTCTTCAGTGTGGCAAGATGGCCTCTCAGGTACCCGCTAATCAGACCTGATGTGAGGGGGAGGCTTGACGTGGACCTGGCAGTGGGTTTTGAATGTCTCCAGCATCAGATTTAAGCAGGACGTGCAGCACAGCCCCAGACCCAGCCATTGGGCCGTGGCTGTGCTGGGTGTGCGGTGCCTTAGGCCGTCTGTATCGTACCTCTGCGGTGACCCCAGGCTGGGCTGGTGGCAGTCGGCAGGCAGGCAGGAGGCTGCTGCCTGGGGAAAGAGCGCGGCCCAGAGCAATGCCCTGAGTGACAGGATAGGCTGGAGGACCAGTTCACTGCAGTCTTTCCTGAGTGGGTCTCCTCCCCTTGTTCTTTTATTTGCATTTTTAAACCAAACTCTGTAATCATGTGACTGTTTTTTTTTAAATTAATTTGCTGTCAGAATTACTGTCTCTTCATAGAAAATTGAAAATAAAATAACAGTATTTTCCCCCTTAACTCTGAGAGTGGTCTTTCATTAAGCAGTTTGAGATGCCAGTCTCTTTGTCAGTGTCCACAGACTGTGTCTCCCCAGCCTGTTGTCCCTGGACCTCTGGTCTCCCACTTGAGTGGACTCGTGCATGTTTCAGAAGGGCTCCTTCACTTCTCTCTGATAAGGGAACATGCTGGGAGCCTGCTGGATTTGTCTTGTTCAGTGGATTAAAACATAACCCAGCCTTTGCAGGGTGATATGACAGTGTCACCTGCCTGACCCAGCACCACCAGGGCAGCAGGCACTTCTAGCATCCTTCCTAGCCTATGGCCTTCTGGGGCCTCACCTCCCTAGCTGAGCATTGCCAAGGGTAGTCCACCAACAGGGAACTCAGGCTGTCCCCTGGTCCTCTGGGCCGGTTAGAACAAGCTCCTGCTTGACTTAGGATGTAGAGTGATCCTGTAGCAGCCAAAGTAGAACTTCAGTTCCTAAATCTGGCCTAAAAAGGTGTAAAATCTGGGGAAGTCCCAGAACCCAGTGACGAAGAACATGGTATGAGGTTTTTTTCCCAATGCAGGAAAAATCCACCCTTCTTGCCTGGCTGTGTAATTTTTAGTCCTAGCACTGCTGTATGGGAGCTGGAGACTCTGATGCAGAATAAAGGCCCCATGTGCCAGGTGGAAGATAAGAGCTAATCCCTACTTTGAAAAAAGCATCATCTACATAAGCAAGATGATGCAGCCAAGTCCCATCCCATCTTCTGAGCACAGATCTAAGCAACAGAGAGCTTAGCTGATTTCCCCATGGGCACATCCCGAGCCTCTGTTCCCCCAGGATGCCTAAATACCCAAATCAGCTGTTCTCCTGTGTTAAAGAGATGGATTTAACCCAAAAGGGCTAGCTGGGTCCTGAAAACCAATCATGCAGCCCACCATTCCTCAATAGCCCAAGGGGAGAACAAGTCATCCGCTGCCAAATATTTATTGACAGGAATACAAGGGCGCTGTTTCTGGACGCTGGGGGGATTGTGTCTAAGCCTTCAATCATACCGTGGGTACTGAGCATTACATCTCACTGGGAACAATCACAGGCTTGATCTTGGCCAAGAGCTGGAGGAGCCAAGAGTCAGAATTGCCCACCCATGTTTTTTCAGCAGGGAGCAGAGCACACCCTACCCCAGGAGCAGCCTGCATGCAGCCCCACAGTATCTTGACCAGCAAATCCTCAGGTTTACACCAGCCCCACCCCCGTTTACTGCACCATCTCTGCAGAACTCGGTGCACATGACAATTTGATAACTCACTCTTTATTAAATGTCTCCACTGATGCAAAGAAGATAAAATTTTTCATTACAAATACCCTTGAGTAGCAGGATGCTTGGCCTGACCCTCAGGGGCCTGATCCTTCTCCAAGCAACTCTACTCAGGGCTTTACCAAAAGCCCATTAACACAAGGACCTTCCCAAGGAGATGGAGGGTGAGACCCCTTGTTTATGGAGTTGACTTGTTCATCTGGTTGGCTCAGCAACTTGTTCATTTGGGAAACTATTTTTATTCATCATGAATGACTAAGCACGTTGTTTTGGGGGCTGGTGGCTTTTCCTTTTTCCGCTCTTTCTTGGATTTATTTATTTTTAGGTTTCTTTGGGAGGGAAAAGAAGCAGAGTGCAGACTGAAAGCTCAGAGAACAGGAGACAGAGATCAAGGGAGAGTGAGAAGATGGGAACTACCCCTCTGAGTCTCAGGCCACCTTACTGCTTATGGAACTTAGCAACCTATTGAGGAATTTTATAGGGGTAATTCAGGAGGCTGTGGGAAAGAAACAAGGGTCAGGGGCAGGTTCTGCTAATGGTTTCCAGAATCACTTGAGTAGGATTTGAGATGGAAGACTTTCTCACGGGTCTTATAGTGCTTGGTTATGCTACAGCCGACATGTCTCTAACACGATTACAGGAGAATTGCTTTGGGGCAGGAAATATCTTTCTGTTCTGTTTGTCCTATGCTTAGCACAAGGGGATGCCAGCTTTGATGCCACAGTAATGCAGGCAATTATTCATACTCACCCCACCTTTTATTTGAAAGAAAAGTAGCCCTAGACCATATGGTTGAGGACTTGCATGCATGACCTTTAAAGACCCCAGAAAATTGAAGGAGGGTTAAAATAATACAGAATGTTGTGGGGGTTTATTCCTTGTGTCATTATTTTTTATTCCAGTTTCCTAATTTTGAAGGGTCACATGAATGGTTTTTGAACTGGTGATGCTGCCTATATGCTGTTTTGATTCACATAATAAACCTCTCACCGCTTGCACTTGACATGGAGAAAGATGATGAATCACCCACCCAAAGACCAAAAAGTGCTCTGCAAACTGTAGGGATGACCTGGTACCCAAAGAAGAGAAAAAGCAGCCATCCAACCTCCCTGACCTTTCAGTCCTGTTCATACCAGGGAATATGTCCACCTCTGTTGATCTCACGTTCCTCTACACCACCCTGCTGCCTCCTCTTGCCTGCTCCAGACCCCCTTTGACCTTTTTCTCTGCTCACCCTCCATCCCAGCCTGACATTAAGAGGAGAAGCTCTACCTACACAACTTTCTCCAGAGAAATGAACAGCAGGCTCCTCAGTAGCTCCCATGGAAGGCAGCAGTCTGCATCCAAGGGGTTTCACTGTTCCTCCTGAGCCTGCAGGAAGGATACTCTGCACAGTTGCAGGTTGCCTGGGTTTGTCCAAGTCGTCCAGAAAAGCTGACGACAGCTGCCTATGGCTCTGCCTCTCCTGCAAACCTCCTAATCCCACAGGAACATCACTTTCACCCCAGCACTGTTTCTGTTTCTCAGTAGCTTCTTGGAGAGAGTCCTGAATCTCATCACAGGCAGTTGTAGCCCTAATAAAACCATTTTCACTTTAGCAGAACCCAATGCCACTCCAGCTGCAATAAATTCTGAACTTGTTTTAACTAATGTGGGCACCTTCAGAAGGATAAACTGGTCTTGTGGAAACTGGACCCCCTCCAGCCTCAGAGAGCTGTGGATGCACAGTTTCCCCACCTCATACCAACCCACGGGGATGAGCACGTGATGGGTGCCCCTATGCTGGCGCCAAACCTGCCTGTGAACAGCCAAGTGAATTACCATCCTTATTTCTTAGCTCAGCACTTTGTGGGTAGGCTTAAGGCATTTCCAGAGGATTTCCCTTCCCCTGCAGTTTCTGCTCACACAAACTTTTGTTTTACCCACCCTGCTTCCAGTACTCTGGGGATTTCTCTGCTACCCTTCCCCAGCACCACAGCTGAGCTGGCTGCTGCCCCAAGGCCACCTGCGCCAGGCTGGGCTTTATCACTATGTGGTGACACAGGGTGTCTTCATGTCCTCACCCTCCCTGTGCCACAGCTGCATCCTCCCAAATGACCTGCAAGCTGTCCCTGCACAGCACCGGCTGCTCTCCATCATCACATCCCTGGAGGGATGCTACCGCAGCACCCTAGAATTGGGATTCCAAGCAGCTCCCAGAACGCTAGCAATGGGAGGCAGCAAGCATTTCCCTGATGCTGTGCTAAACCTGGGCATGGCCAAATCCTCCCGGTCTTGACCATTCTTTGTGACATCCCCACCTCCCTCCCCTAAAGCAGCCGCATGCTCTGCATTTTGCTGCCCAGCTGCTCCCACCCCTGCCTGCACTGGGATTTGCTCAGTGTCAGAAGGATTTATTGCCCCCCACTCAGGTTTTATGGTTTTATTCCCTTTCCATTCATCTTCCCATGACCAGAGCCCTTTTTTCCCCACAGCATTGCATCGTCACCACCTCCCCTTGTTAATTCCAGTTGTCCCCACACACTCCTGCCACACTTGCTTTAGTTTTTCACCCAGGTTCATGGAAGTGAACCCGCAAACAAGGCTGCAGCGAGTTCCCTCTGCAAAGGTTTCTGTGGGTGATGCTGGGTAGAATCGGGCCGACCATCCCCTTCTGATGCTCGGGGAACCCGCTCGACCGAGGCCCAGGAGATGCCCCTCTCCAGCGGGGCGCTACCAGGATGCTCCAAGCAGGAGGTGACGTCCCAGTGGGGGGGACATGAGGAGAAGGGCTGAGACGCGGAGGAGCTCTCCTGCGTGAAGCATGTTCGGGGGGAGGGAGGGGGCTGCAGGTTGACCTTCCCATTCCCTAACTCCCCCTCTGCCCATCGCTAGCCCATGGGTGCCCCCCTCCGCCCCCTGCCCGCCCCTAGTCCATGGGTGCCCCCCCCCGCCCTCTCCTCCTCCCGCAACTCCAGCGCCGAGGAAGCCGAGCCGGAGGCAGTGCTGAGCCGGATATGCAGCGACTCCCCGCATCCCTCCTTGTGAGTATCTCTTGCTCCTTCTGATGCCTTCGGAGGAGACGGATGGACGGACGGACGGGCAGTCAGAGGTGGACTAGTTTCTCCTATTTGCAAAGCTAGGGTGGAGAGGAACCTCTTCCAATATCCCTTTCCCCATCCTCTGTCTAGATCTCCTCTTCCCCTCCTCCTCTCCGGCCACAATATTCTCAAAAAAAAAAAAAAAAAGGGGGAGGTAGGGGATTGGGGGAGGGGGGGCGGAACCTGCTGGCAGGTAGAGGGAACCGGGAAATGCAACCCCATTTGGAATCCCGCAGAGACTAGGACTCAGGGAAAAAAGAAATCCCCCCCAAAATACCCACTTTCCCCAGGAGAGACGGAGGGAGGGCGGAGGGGCGGGTTGCTCTGCCGCACCGGGAGACCCGCTCCGCCCGCAGCCGAGCCACCAGCTCCCATCCCGGCATGGGACAGAGAGGAGAAGGCCCCGATAGTCAGACCGACAGACAGACAGGCGCGCAGGGAGGGCTGCGGGTGGCTGCAGCGCGGCCGGGCTGGCAACCCCCCTGCAGCCCCCCGGCGCCTCCCAAGTGTTTCTTTCTGCTTTTATTTGACTCCTTTTTCTAAAAAAAAAATAAATAAAAAAAATAAAAAAAATATTTCCCCACTGGTGACTCGGGCTCGGGTCATGCAGGACAGCGGGCAGCGGAGGGGGGAGGATGTGGTAGAGAGGGAGGGATGGTCCTGCCGCTGCCCGCGTCTCTGCCCCCGCCGCGGGGCCGGAGCCGGCGGCAGCTCCGCGCCGAGGCGGCGGCGTCGTGGTCCCCGGGTGTAGCGGTGCTCCCTCCTCCCCCTCCTGCCTGCCCTACTCTCCTCCCTCTCTCCTCTCTGCCCACTCCCTCACTCCTCTCCCCGCTCTCTCCTCTGTCTCCCGGTCCCTCTCTCTCTCCTGCCTTCCCCTCACGTCTACCCTTTTCTGTTCCTTCCCCCCTTTTTCTTCTCCCTCCCCCCCACCTGGCCTTCCCATCCCCTCACCCCCATTTTTCACGGGGGTGCTTTCGCTTTGCCAGGGCAGAGCGCGGTGACGCCGCGGCAGCCACCACGGAGAGGACACAGGACCCCCCGCTGGGCCCGCCATGCCCCTTTGAGGGGGTGGCTTGGACCCCGAGACCACCCCAGGGTCCCCCCCAGGGCTGCTTCGCCTGCATCGCCAAGCCCCCAGCTCTCCGGCAAGCTTCGCCCGTCCTGTCTCCTTCTTCTGCTGTTTATCTCATGGAGAGCAAGAGCTGCAAAGGGGACAGCCTGCGACCGGCGGTCCCATGCAAGCACTCGGTGGAGAAGAAGACGATGACCAACCCTACCACCGTCATCGAAATCTACCCCGACACCACCGAGGTGAACGACTACTATCTCTGGTCCATCTTCAACTTTGTATACCTCAACTTCTGCTGCCTTGGCTTCATCGCCTTGGCCTATTCATTGAAAGTGAGTACTGAGCACAAGGCACGGGGTAAGGGGTGACCGGAGAGGGGGGAAGCGTTTGGGGGTTGCGCCTGATGTGAAACACATCTTTGCCACCCAAATGAGAGGTTGCAGCCAATGGGGACGGGGATGGGAAGAGCCGAGGTGTGTTTTGGAGCCTGGGATGTTACTTCAGGTGGGTAAGAGGTGCTTTGACTTGCTCCAAGCTCCTCTGTACCACAGCAGCAGCGTGACAGGCAGGCAACACAGGGCTGGCTTGGCTCGTGCTGCACCCACAGACACAGTGGCACTAGGTCCTTTATTCGGGATCCTGTCTGTTAGAGATCATCAGGATAGGACGCAGCAGCACTGGATGGTGAGGCAGAAGCAGTAAGAAGCAGCTGATCAGGATCAGCCATCGCCTGGCAAGTTGCAGGGGGGAAGCAGCTGACAAGGTCCAGGGCAATCCTGCCTGTTTCTTTCTTGCCCTCTCCCTAATTAAAACACCAGAGCTGCTGGCCAGCTTTCCCCACCCCAAGCCCTGTAATCCCCAGAGCAAGCCCTGACGACCTGCCAGCATCATGGGAATGCTGAGGAGGTGGAAGAGAGTGCAGGGGGCTTCCCACAGCATTGGGGCCGGGGGAATACAGAGCCATGTTGTTGGAGAGTGTGATGGCGTGGAGCACAGCCCATGATGGGAATGGGACCAGGTTATTATTCCTGGTAGCTGCAGGGGAGAGCAACTCAGCAGGGATGGTGCCTGGCAAACAGGCAGCCCCTTGGCAGCTGCCAGGAGTGAGGGGTTTGGGCTGCCCTCCCCTTCCCTGCCTGCCAGATGCAAAACTAACTGAATGGATGTGCAGAGAGCCCGGGGCAGCTGGGTGGCCTGGAGAGAAGCTAGCTGATTTGTTTTGGCAGGCAGCATTTAGAGGAAGGCCAGGGCACAGACGGGCTTCGTCACAGAAGCAGATCAATTAACCCCATCCAGCTCCCCTGAGCTGGACTGTGAGCACCCAGCACTGCAAGGAGGCTGCTCCCAACCCTGTCAGGGTCTCCGTCAGAAAGGCTCAGGGACCTGTGTCCTGAGCTCACTCAGCACCGGCACTGTGGTGTCCACCTCAGTCTCCCCTTGCCCAAAATGGGAGATGAGCACCCATCCACTGCCCATGCAGGAGGCATCACTGCTGCCTGGGTGAGGCATTTAATAACCTAAATCATGCCAGGGCGAAGCATCACCGAAAGCAGGATTGACCAAAGGGCAAACCCAGTCAATAGCAGCCTAACACAAGCGGGTGGAGGGAGTCCCTTAACACCTCCCTCTCCTTTAGCCAGCAAGGGAAGAAACTGGCTTCCTCCTTATTTTTTAAGCCTTTTCTCATCCGTATTTGCCTTTAATGATGGACATCTTTCACATAGAAGAGGCTACAAATGAGTATCTGGGTAGATGTGGTCCCTTGCTGCTGCAGCAGTGGGGCAGGAGAGCTCGAGGTCAAGGCTGACCCTTCCCCAGGAGACAGGACAAAGCAGGGTCTGCCACCTGTAAAGTTTTTAGAGGCTGGACCCTTCACTATCCCTGACATGGGGTGGAAGGAAGGTCAAAGCCCAGAAGTAACCCAAGGCCTTGCAACAGAGCAGAGGCATGGGCCCAGCATCTGTCTGCAAAGATCTAGAGGACAGAAACTCCATCATGAAAAAAAGAAGCAGTAGTGAAGGAAGACAAAAAGGCAAATTTGCTCCAAATCAGGGAAAGGAAAATAGAAGATGGCTGTCAAAAACGAGCCTCGGCTTTCGGACTGAGGGGCAGTAGCTGGTCAGATGTAACCACGGTACCCAAAAAGAGGTAATGCTGACCGGGTAGAAATAACTCTGCTCTGATCTTGGAGATCCCCAGTGGCTGTGACTCTGTGGCAAGGGGAAAATAGAAACAAAATGTTCCTCAGAGGCAGAGGACAGAGCGAGCGAGTGACTGAAGGGATGCTGAGTGCTCTCACGAGCTGCTGTTGGGATGGGCTATAAGAGGCAATGGGGATGGGTGATAAGAGGCAACAAGGATGCTGGGGCAGTAGCAGGTCTGTTGTGGGGAAGACTGATGTTCAGAAAGGCAGAATACTCACTCACAACTACTGCAGAGACCTTCACAACATCTTAGCTAGGCTGGATGTCAGGGTTATTTCTCTAGAAGCATGTTTTCATCTCTTTTACTGTCAATAATGTTTCTCCCGGAAGTTCAGAGAAAGCAGGAGCAAAAAATGCCCTGAGGACAGATGTCCCTTTAGACAGACTTCTCTTGTTCCTCTGCAATTAAATGTAAGGACAATTGAGCAGTAGATACTTAAGTCCCAGCCTTTCTAGGATGTCTGTGCTCTGAAGAGACTGACTAACGTGCTGCAGGAGTGAGAACAGTGGAGTGGCACCTTCCCCTCCCTGAGCCCAGCAGAGCCCTCGGCCAGTGGAGCAAAGGTTTCCTGGCTGAAGGACCATCAGTGCCCTGATGCCATTAAGCGGTTCCTGGGCTACACTTTTTACATTTCCTTTAAATAACTGAAACATCTAGCAACTTCAAGAATTCTTGTTTGCATTATCAGAAATACCATTTTCAGTTCCCTGTCATGAAGGTCATCTGCTTTTGACAGATTCATAATGTCAATAAAGCAGTACCTCCTTTGTATCCCAAGTCCACGAGGTGTTTCAGTATATATCTGAGCACACCCTAGTATTTCCACTGCTTTCAGCAGCATAATTCCCACACTGGAAGCCAGATATATGCTTGGTATACTTGAATATTAACATAAAGCTGTCTCCCTCCCCATGCCCTATTTTATTGGTTTCAGCCACATGTGGGAAAGCAGGCATGTCTGCCTGGCCTTTTGCATGAGAACTACAGCCTTCTAGATTTCTTTCTGCAGGAAAATGCTATTTCATGGTGACAACCATTTACTAAAAAATGCCAAAAAATGCTACCCAGCACCAAAGAATTTATGAAGAAAGAAACACATGAAGTCAGGTGAGGGCAGAGACTGTGACATCCAAGCCAAGTCCTCTGTGTGACAGACATCCCAGCCAAGCACTCTGAACAAGAGTGTGACTGCATGTCTCATCTTCATTTACACCAATAGCAGGCCAGATCCTCAGCAGCCACAGCTTGCTGGGCTGCAATGGTGTCACACCAACACATATATCCCTCCAGGGGTCATTTCTAGCACCTTAGGCTTCTCAAGGTCAGCCTCACAGAGTGCAAGCAAGGCACTTGCATCTAACTGTGTGTGGGGCGGGGGTGCTGGGGAAGAAGAGATCAACAGCAGGACCAGGAAGTTAGAAGCCCTAAAGTAACCTTAACCCCAGCTCAGCACAGATGTGAGGATCACTCCAACAGCAACACTTTGGATTCAGTTGGTTTTGATCAGAAGCAAATGTCATGGCCTGATATTAGGCAGCTCCCTCCCTCCCTCCCTCCCTCCCTCCTTCCCAGCTCCGAGCAGTAATGAATGATGCATCAGTGCCTGGTGGCAGGAGATCTCGCTTCAGTCATTAGGAGGTCTGTCTCTGGAGACTGGTGGGGTGAGCCAAGTCCTTCTCAGTGCCCATTATGCCATGAGGCGGTAGATCAGAGGAGCTGGGCTCTGAGATGAGCCGTGGTACAGATGCTTCTCTGTGGCTGTATAGAGATGAAGATGCCAAGAAGCCCTGCTGGCTTTTCAAGCCCCACCAGCAGCCCACAATGTTGCTTGCAGAATTTTCCTGTCCCTTGAGGTGACCGAAATATGTCGAGCTCTCTTGCCAGCTTTCTGCCCAGCCCTTAGCACACAGCTCTTGGCATGACTGCCTTCCCCTCTTACCACTTGTTGAACTTCCCTGTTTCGAGTTGAAGCAGACCAGCACAAATCCATAGCTATTTATTAACCCTGAGAAGCAGAGAAGCTGCCGCACCCAACCTCTCAGGCAGGCTCTCAGCCTGCTTTTCGGGAGGAGCAGGAGTTTATGGAGGTGGGTGAAATGCTGGGGTGACAGTCCCGTGACGCCAGTGCCGGTGTGGGGGAGGTATGTGGGCTGGAGAGCTCTTGAGCAATTCACAGAGCAAATAAATCCAAGGATCCCCTCCAGAGCTCCTTATGTGTAGGGACACAGAGCTCTCTATAGAAATGGATTTACTGACAACAAGCTGTGGACTGCCAGGCTGCCTTAAATACAGCCTCATTAGACTCGTTATCAACAAACCATTGGTCTTCTTCTGCAAGCTGAGGCAGCACTTTTTACTAGAGCAGCAAGTTCCCTGCTCCCAAAAATGAGAAGGTCCAAGCCCCAGGGCAGAGAGAAGGGAGGTGACTGCTGAGGAAGGGTATGTAACAACCAAGTGGACCACTGGGAGAGGAAGAAGAAGGTGAAACCTCAAGGGAAGAAAGGGCAGAGGATGGTGATCAGAGGGAGGAGAAAAAGAACCCTTGGGTACTGGCATGCTGGAGGTATGGGAGGATGTAGTAAAATGGAGATGTTGGAGGGCAAGGTGAGCCGCAGGGAGGTGACAGGCAACCATGGATGAATGGAAAGGCCATCACTGCCTTTTGCCCGTGGGAGAGGAGAAAGGTTTGCACGTTAGAGCACAAAAGCTGTATTTGTTTCATGTAAGGACAGACATGGAAGAAGAAAGAAATTGTATAACTTGTCAACCTGTATCAGAGGTGAGCTCTGCCTTGTCTAGGGTGGGATCTCCAAAGAGACCACCACACAGAGCTTTGGGGTGCCCAGGGAAACCCCATAGTCAGCAGAAGTAATTATCCTCACACACCAGTCATCTCAGTGCAAAGCAGGGCCAAAAATCCCCATCTAATTTTAGGCAAGATGAGGTCGAAGTGATGATAAGAGTCTGTGACTAAGTAAACACACAACCTGGGTCTGGGGTGAGGGTTCAGTCTGTGACCTTGAGGACCTGTCCCTGACCATGCCTCATCTCATTGGCTATGGAAGGAAGCAGCTTTCAGGGCTCCCAGAAGCTCGTGCACCAGCTGTCAGCACATTATGATGATGGTGGCCACAGGAGCATGAAAACAGGAAAAGCTGAGGCTAGGCTATGAGAAAGACACCAGCATCTCCTTAAGGACAAAGCAGGGAAGGAGCTGAAACACTCGTCTGCTCTCCAGGAGAGCTCCTCCATAGCTCAGCTCAGTTACCACAGCAGGACTTTAAAGGGAGACATCTGGAAGCACCTGAGGGTGCAAGGCCATGCAAAAGGAGACGAGGCTGCCCTGGAGAGATGTGGGAGTCTGAAGCTGTGAGTGGTTTGTAAGGAGAAACTCCTTTTCATTGCACTTGTGTGCCACAGGGGCCCTTGCACTTGTCTGGCAGTTAGAGGCTCTGCTGCAATATAAATGATAATGGACAATCAGGAATGATTTGCATGAGGGAGACCACTGAAGCTCTAGGTGCACAGGAAAGTACTAATGGAGGAGGGGAAGGGGACCAAGGACTCGGTGAAGGTGGGGATTCCAGATGGCCAAGGCCAGAACAGCCAGAGAAGAGCCAGGGCAGAAGTAGGGAAGGGAAAGGGCAGGGGGCTGCTGGAGATGGGGAATGCAGGCAGAACTCCGTGTTGGTAGGAGTGGGTGGATGGAACCATCTGGAGGTGCAGGGAGAGGAGGCCATTGGGTGCCCTTAGGTAGGAGTCAAAGGCAGCCATCCTACCATTGTTTGGGCCCAAAAAAATGAAAAGAGAAGAGATGGAAGGGACAAAAAAAGGAACTGTGAGGAAATGGTGGCATGGGGGAGAGGGCAGCCCCAGGCACCCCTCACTATGGATGCTTAGCAGCAGCAGCAAGACTGGAGCAGGGCCAAAGGGAGAGCCACGGGAAAGTCAAGAAGAGGTGCTGCTGAAGTGTGTTGTTAAAGCATTGGTCCCAAGTGTGAGCTGGTGGGAGGTGGGAGACACTACTGGGAGAGGCTGCTTGGAGCACTGGGAGAAGGCTGGGCATGGAAATTAGGGTGGCAGGGCACCCCAGGGATAGAGGGAACATGAGACAAGGAGTAGGAGAGAGCTCCTGGGGCCAAGAAGAACTGGCCCTACAAAGCTAAAGCGGCTTGGCTACAGGAGGGTTGCAGAGCTCGGTGTGCCGGCCATGCCGGTCTACTGGAGAAACCTCTGTCTGCCTGTAAACGCTGATGGCAAACACCTCCTCACCTGAGGCAGAGAGCAATTCTCCCAGCAGTGGCTGGGTTACAGGGGAGGAAGGGGCAAAAGGCATTTGCTCCGTGTAGGTTTTGCCTGAGGCAGCCCCACCGCTGGGAAGAAGGAAGTGTGTGAGAGCTTCAAAGAGTCTGCTGGGAGCAGCAGGCAGGATTTCTGGCCTGAATCCAGCACCCCTGGGGCTCTGGTTGCAAGGACCTCCTTGCTTCTCACCAGTGGATGAGAAGGTGCCAGATGCCTGGCGCTGCTGAGTCTAGGCGATTCTGGGAGGATGCTAAACTTACCGAATAATTTCAAATGTGAGTCATCCCGGACATTCAGCTGACACAAAAAGGCATGTGGGCTCCCATGCTGCCGGCTTGTTGCCTTCCCAGAGATCATTTCCACTGCTGAGAGCTCCAGCCGAGCATGCCACAGAGCCACATGCAGTTTTGTGACTGTCCCCTCTTTTGATCCCAGAAGGATGCTGAGCTGAGCACTCAGCAGTGAAGTGATGGGTGGGTGGCACCAGCTCCAGCTGCAGGCTCCCAGGAGCAGGGCACATCAGAGGCCGAGGGCATGGCACCGTAAGATTTAATATGAGAATAAAAACAGAGCTCTCATTCTTGCCCATGTGCCTGCCAGCACCGCGTCCTGTGGGCCTCATGCCAAAGGCAGCCTCCCTACCCTCAGTCTGGGATTAACGAAGATCAGGAGCTGCTTGTGCAGAGAGGTCCTCACTGGTGTGACAGAAGAGAGAAACATTTCTTGAGGGTCTGAGAGGTGGGTTTGGAGGCCCCATGAACCAGCATTGTTCTGGGGGAATGAGAGGTTCAGCAACCCTTCCCTACATCCAACAGCTTGTAGAAGGCTTTCAGGACAGTCCCATGCGTAAGCACCGCAGGAAGAAGAGAGAAAAAGTCTGTAAGATGTGGTCTGAATCCATCACAGAGTCTTTTCAGAAAGCTCCTGGTCGATAAAAGCCTTTTAATATTCCTCGGTATGACTCTGGTGCTGGTTTTTGCATCTTGCCACCAACATCTAGTGTCCAACTGGCAGTGCCCGGCAGGGCTTTCACTGCCGGGAGCAAGACAGGCTGTGAAGGGCACACAGCCCCCACCCAAGAGCGAGCAGTGGGGCAGGCCCTGCCAGACCCTGGGCTTGGATATGGAAAAGGGACAAGGGGTAAAGTCTCCTGGTTCTTTCGTCCTTGTGGCTCCAGCTGCCTGAGTCTGCTGAGTGCTGGCTGAAGGGGCAGCTTGGGGACAGGGACACATCCCTGCTAGGAAGGGATGGAGCCTGGCTCCTCATCTGCTGGGATCAAGCTGCAGAGCTGCTGCTGGTGGACAGTGCCATCAGCTGCCTGGCTGTGCCATCCACTGCCTCATGGTGCCATCCCTGCCTGCTAGTGGCATCGCTGCCTGGCTGTGCCATCTGCTGCCTTGCAATGCCATCGTAGCCATAGAGTGCCATGCACTGCCTGGCTATGCCTTCTGCTGCCTGGCCGTGCCATGCACTGCCTGGTAATGCCATCACTGCCTGGCAGTGCCATCTGCTGCCTTGCAGTGCCATCTGCTGCCCGGCAGTGTCATCTGCTGCCTGGTAATGCCGTCGCTGCCTGCCAGTGGCATCACTGCCTGGCAGTGCCATGCACTGTCTGGTAGCCTGGAGGAGGTGGGGACAGGCCACTGACATGAACCTGTGCAATCATTGCCATGCACTGCAGGGCTGTCCCAAGGCAAGCCCATGAAAGTCCCAGCCTGCAGGATATTGAAGGGAGCAGACTGTGCTGTCAGAATAGAGACGCTACACAAGCCGCATAAGACCTGCAAAAGGAAAGGAACTCATTAACCCAGGACTGCTTAATATGCTGGAGGCTTGTGCGCAACCCTGAAGCTGCAGTAGGATGCCGTGCCAGGCTTCACCTGCTCAGCCCCTCAGTGCAGATGGAGGCACAGGGATGCACATCGGAACAACAGCCAGTCTCCTCACTTGTGGGCTGGGTGAGCCAAAGCCTGGTGCTGCAGGACCAGGGGGCTACAACGCAGCAGGCACTGTGCTTTAGTGCCAGTGTGCCTGGGATGCACAACAGCATCTCAGTTCCCTTGTGGACCCTCAGGCTCAAAATTATACTGACGCACTCTGGGGACCACAGGGACCTGGTTTGCCTGCTTGGTAACAGCAACGGGTCACTCTTCCAGGACTTCTTCACTCCCAGAAATTTCCAGCCCACAGTACTTGGCTTCACAAGCTCAATCCATAGCAGAGGCAGAGTGCAAACCTCACCACAGGGTGTTTTATGGCACCCCAAGCATTCAAATACAAAGAGGCACAGCCCAGCCCTCATCTGCTGTACATATAACCATGTACAGGTGCAATGGCTTTGCATTTAGCCAACAAGTTATACCTTTCATACATAATACAATTACTTTATTTAATTATTTTTTTTGCCCCAGGTCCGGGATAAGAAACTCCTCAATGACTTAAATGGAGCAGTTGAAGATGCCAAGACAGCCCGGCTTTTTAACATCACCAGCTCAGCCCTTGCCACCTTCTGTATCATCCTTATCTTCATCTTCCTGCGATACCCTCTCACTGACTACTAGAGTGAGGCCAACAGCAGCGGCCGTCGCCAAAATGCCTCTATGCCAGAAGTGTCTGCAGTTGTTTCTTGTAGCAAGGACATGCAAAAAAACCTACTACACCTTGATTGCAAAAAAGAAAGAAAAAAAAGTACATAAATAAAAGTTATATTAGTTTATTAACCCAGCTGAGCATACCCTTCCTGCCCTAAAATGGTACGTGAACTGCTATAGGAAAGGGTTTCACTCTTGCACATGTACAGGGACAAAAATAGACCAAGAAATATTTATTTTATGGCCAACAAGCTGTATGAAAAGAGTGTGTGGAAAGCCCAGAGCAACACACGCCTAGTGGCAGACAGCTGAGCTCTGTGACCAGGGGGATCCTATGAAGCTGGAAACACATGCAGTGATGGATGGGGACCAAGGCAGGGCTGTCTCATAACATATCAGGTGTGTTCAGACCTCCCCACCATCCCCCAGCTTAAGGGGATTTCTTTTCCTTTTATTCTCTTGAATTTCATCCACTGGTTCAAACAACTCCCAACCCCTGGAGAGCTGAGGGTGTCAGGAAATTCATGCTGGGGAGCCCCAAAGCCTCTAGAGAAGCCCCAAAGTGTTAAAGGGCAGGTTTCTCCTTGGGATCTCCCAGCAGTGCTGAGAAGGAGGGCACCTCCTGGAGAACTCACCTAAGCCACCTAAGTGGAGTGCTACTGTATTTCTGTGAACAGTCAATAAAGAGATACCTCTGATATGTGATGCTGATGGGTTAATTCCTTCCTTACGAGGGCTGGGCTCGTGGTCTCTATGGGCTGGCAAGAGAAAATGCTAATGTCACCCGCAGCTGCTTGGGAGAGATTTAAAGCAAGAGCAAGGGATGCTGCTGCAGGTCAGGGCCACATGCAGCCGTGAAGGAGAGTGCAGATCCAGATTTGAGAGCAGAGACCTCAGTGACTCCTGTGGTGGAAGATCAATGGCAAGCAGACAAAGGCAGCCAAGTGGGCAGGTCGCCCCTGTCCTGCTTGGACCAATGTTGAAGATAGAAATAAATCGCCACAGTCTGAACATGCTGCTACTGCAGCACTTCCCAGGGTCAATACCAAAAGCCAGATTCAGAGATGAAGTGCATTTGCCACTGAACGAGGCAGGAGCTCAGAGCCCTTCCTGATAGCTGCCGGAGGCTGCCTGTGGGGCTGCAAATCAACATGCCCTGATTTGAAAACACCACAAATGAATGGCTAGACCAGGACTAAAATACAGCTTTTCAGCCCCTCTGACCCTTCATGTCATCTCATATGCCACAGCTGCCTCATCTTTTTCCAGCTGTAAGGTGACCTCATGCCAAGGGGCACCAGTCACTGCCATGGAACCGGGAAAAGGCAACATCACCCACCTTTGCACCCACCAGGAAAGCGAAGATGAAGCAAGAGAGAGGCAGTGTAGACAGGCTGTCATGGGACACTTCATCATCCGCTGAGTGCATGGCTAAATCAGGCTGTCTCTGGTCTGTGCTCAGTGAGAGATGTGCCATAGTGAGATGTGGGGGCAGACCATGAGGATGCTTCCCTGAAAGCCTCATGAGATGTCACCTCCTTCCCTCTCAGGTCTCCCCACCTTAATCCCAGCCTGGGCTTCATTTATGGGAGGAGTTATGAGCAGAAGGACCTGCAGTCCTCCCTGCTCCATGCTCGCTGGAGGGTATTTCCACACCAGACCAGATCAAGGGGCTGTTTTGCAACAAAGTACATGTTGCCCTGGAAGTATCTCAGCCATGAACTGCTCTATGATCATTCATCCAGAGGTCAAAGACTGTTCCCAACCTCTCTTGCATGCTTCTCACTCCATTCCATGAAGAAAGACCTGAGGAATCATAGCCATCAGCATTTCCATCCTGACATACCTAAAGGCTATATCCAGTCCTTGTCTCAGGCAGAGGAAGGAGGTGTCCTGTCATGATGGTAATGCCTCCTAAGAGGGTACAGACAAAATTACTCATGTTGCAGCCACCCTGAGCTGGCACCTGAAAACTGAAGAGAATTAAAGCCCACTGGGACAGTGTTAGCTTAGGCAAGACCCAGACTAGTCATCCCAAAATCCTCTGAGGTTAGGAGGAGCACAGAGACAAGGTTGTATCCCTGCGCCTGTGTCAAGCTCACGTTGGCTGTGTCCGTGGTCTTGGCTTGGTATTCTTCACCATCCAGGTGCCCATCGCACCTCTCAAGCTTTGTAGCCCAGTCTGGAGGGCCCTGGGGGATAACTCAGACAGGGTGACCCTGCATGCAGTTACAGGGGCTCAAAGCCGAAGGCTTAGATCACTGTGGAACCAATGTGCCTGGCACCTCTTGGAATAAGGAGTGTGTTCCTTTCTATGAGCTGGGACTCGCTGGAGCCATGTTGCAAGTGCTTTTGCACTCAGAGACCCTCGCCTAACTCTACGAAATCTTGTGGGGACAATGCTGCTGTCCCCGTCTCCCGTGCTACACAGGAGAGAGCTGCCCTGCTTGGCATGCAGGCACGGGGCTGCTCAGATTAAGGCAGAGCTGCCACAAAACTGGAAGTGACCCAAAGCCAGCCTTTTCTACATTTAACAAGTGTGACAAATGAGCTACCATCATCCCTTCCCCTGATGGACCACCTTATCTGTGGGAATATGGATGCTGGTTTAATGAACCAGGGGAAATATTGAACTGACTCTGCAGCATTTTTGCACGTATAAACCATCAGGGATAGAGAGGGAGGGCTAATATTATTAATCATCATATTTATTATTTGTTGCTCATGTTGTAGGAGGTGAAATTGCTGTGCTGTGGCAGGTTGTAGGTCCACCTGGACCTGCCTCAAACAAGAACAGGGCAGCAGAGAAGGATGCAGTAACCCTGTGGCTGGAGGAGGGTATGACTGACCCCAGGCAGATGCTCAGCTCCACCACAGCCCTCACCTCGGCTTCATCTGCAGCTCAGGGCTGGGGGGCAGCAAAGCCCCTGTGCTTTGCCTTCCTCTCTCTTAGTGTCCCCCCCTTCATTTTAATGGACTCCTCCAAACTCACAGCAGGAGGAAAGCACCCCCAAAATGGGGAAAATGAGAGGGACATGTAAATTTTTCCAAGCTTGCTTAGCAGAAAAAAAATAAATAATTTATTCATGCAAGAGTGTTCCAAGTGCAGCAGCATCAAGGTATTCAGCATTCATTTCATCTTGTCAGTGTCACGGAACCCCAAACTGAGACAGCAAAACTGTGTTCCCATATACTGTCAGGCAAGTACATCCCAGATTGCACCAACTGTGCTGTTAAGTGAAAGAAAGAACTTTTTTTTCTCATTTTGAGGGAACAAGGGAAAGAAAAGCAGCAGCCAAATCCGACAGGTCCTCTAATTGCTTTTCTTTTTTTTAATTTTGCAAGAAAATTCTGGAAGTTCAGGTTTTGCCAAGGCTGACACCCGCCGCAGCAGAAGGCAGGCTTTCAAGAGCTGCTTCTCTGCCTTTTCACTTCTGCCACTCACAACGCCGCACCACGCTCTCCAAATCGCACCTTTTTTTGGCTGCGAAGCCGCAGCCTCTGTTGCATTCAGCGGCGGGAAGGAAAACTGAGAGGAGGGGGTGGAATAGCGGAACAACCGAACGCAGCTTGAGAAGCATCTTTTCATATGGGGAAGAACTGACGGTCACGTTGCCATATAGAGATTCAATTGTATTCCTGCAGGAAACTGAGCCTGACAGCTTGATGAGGGTTGCTTTTTGCTTTTTCTTTAGCTCGAGGGGAGATATGGGGAAGGAGGGGAGCCATTGTTCCCTTTTAGGTGACATTGTACAATTCTGCCTAAAACACTACTGCTGTTTTTGGCCCTTGGTAGCTGAAAAGCGTTTGGGATGAGACCAGAGAAAGGTCACCGAGTCTGGTGAGAGGCACCCTCGTCTGGGGAGGAAATGCTGCGGGACGGGGCTCGTTCAGGCCGGCGATGAAATGGCTTCGCGGGTACCCCACGGCAGGCCCAGCACCTAGGAGGAGGTCACGGAGGCAAGGAGAGGGATGTCGCAGCCAAGCTGGAGCTGCCCTGCTGCGGGAGGCAGGCAGAGGGCCCCCTCACACCGCTCCACCGCAGCCGGCAGCGCACCGCCCATCTCCGCGGCCTCGGGGCGGGCCAGGAGGTTCCGAGCCCTCGACCCTTGGAGGGAGCAGAGGTCCATCCACGCTCCTCCGGGACTCCCCGCCCCAAGCCTCACCCCCGGAGAGTTGCGAGTCCCTACACAGGGCAAGCGCTGGCTTGTGCAAGGAGCAGTTGTGGGGTGAGGGTGGCTCCTGCGCCCTAAAACCGGCCAGGAGCGGGTCCCCAGCCTCCCGCAGGGATGTGCCCCTTGGTGCCAGCCGGGGCGCGTGCGTCAGGCGAGGTCCCGGGCGCTGTTACACATTCAGCCTCCACGCTGGCAGGGAAAGGTGGCTGGGGGCCAAGCAGCGCGTGTGAGCAAAGCCCGCGGCGCTTACGCAAGGCTCAGAGCTCACCCGCGCCTCTGCCCCGGCTGCCACGCACGGCTCAGTGATGACACTCCTGCGCAAATGCCACCGAACCAGTTTGCAGACAAGAGCACCTCGAATCCTGGCTGGGGAGAACTGGTTTGGGTTTCGTTGGTAAACGCAACCCCACAACTCCCCTTTATCTACGGGCTGGCAGTAATAAACATGGTGAGATAGAGCTAATTCAGGTAAGGACCTCCTGGCCCAGCACTGGCATCTGCGAGTTCCCTTGTCAGAGGTGAGCTCCCAGGCATGAAGGCAAAGCATGGTGAGTCAGGGCCAGAGCAGCCTTCAGCCTGGATACCCAAATTAACAGAGAGAGAGAGATGCAAATGGCAACCCCTATTCTTCTGCATGGTGTGTAAGCCACCAGCAAAAGCTGACACCAAGCTGTAGTGTCATAACCCCACTGCCCAGGCATTTCACGGGCCGGGAGGCAGAGTCACATGTCCAGCAAGTAGCAGGTCTCGCCTCCCTTTCCAGCCACGTGCTGCTGTACTGGGTGATCTTACCAAAGCCCTCTCATCTCTGTTTTCCCCTCCAGCACTGTCTCATGGCTTGATGTCTTCTCAGAGGAGGAACTGCAGCCTTGCTTAGCGCCACCAGGTTCTGGGACCTTGGCACTCTGGGCATCCTGTGACTGGTGCAATTGCAGCAGTCAGATATGGTTGGCAGATACAGGGGAAGAGCAGGGCGCTGATGGAGCTGCCCCTTCCCTCCTCTCCATCCCCAGATACATGCGGCAGGTTGGACAGTGAGGAGCGCCTGGCTCTGCAGGCAGACCGCGGCCCTGCCGGGGGGAGGAGGGGGAGGCACAGATGGCAGCAGATGCTCTCATCAGTGAAAATGATTGAAGGAAAACAAAAAAACCTAGCAACTGGTGAGCAGCCTAACAAAAACCAGCACAAGGGTAGAGAAAAAGGGTCTGGACCTGACAGAGCCATTCACAGAGCCTAGCTCTGTGCTGCCTTCTGGCCCAGGGTAACGTTTTTCTCATCCCCAATTCACACACAGAGAAGAAAGCACTTGTCTGGGAGTGCTGGGCAGAGATTATTTTTTAAGACTTGAATATACTAAACCAAAACCATTTGGTGTCTCTCCTCATCCCCTTTCCCTGTCCTCTCTCTTATCCCTCTCCCACTGCCTCCAGAGGAGTGAATATGACCCCGGACAGCTTCTAGGCACACCTAAGCCACTCGCCTACCATCACTGCCCAGGGCAAACCCAAGTGTGTGCCAACACAGCACGCC